AAGTAAGATTTATGACATTGTATGGAATTTGTCTTTTTTTATCTTGTTAATCAATGAAGAAGGAGCTTTTAATTTAGTTTGGAATAATCTTAAGTAAGGTTACGAGTTTTTCTGGTCAACAAACAAAACATGTAACAATATATATATTTTTTAATTGGTCATGTTACACGATCTTCAAGTTTGAGCTTATCTTCTTGAAGTCATCCTCTATTTCGTTTTTCATAAACTTAGTTATTGTCTAGTATCCGTGGGTACCGTGTCTAGTATCCAGTGGCGGCTTGAAGCCCACCCAGCTTCAGATCGATGAGTACCAGCTTGTCTGAGAAGTAAAGGCGGCCTGTACACAATGCAAGCGACATTTACATGAAATTGTGGAGCGTTATCCTCCATGAACCTCTTGGCCCACAACAGGCTGTTTCGGGAATGCTTTTTTGTTGTTGTCGCTTGATATGTTGTGTAGAAAAAATGACGATTTATAGCCTTCAAATTATTTCGCAATATATTTTTGATTTTTATGTAAACAATGTAAAATTGCATGTTGTATTAACAGTTGTATTAACAGTTGTTCTCTAATTATTTTTAATATTATGTATGTTTTCGTTATATTTTGTACAGTATTTTCTAGCTATGAGTGACTATTTCAAAAATGTTTGGTTTGAATGTCTTAGCAAACTTGTCATATAATGTCTGTTTCAATTTTAAATGGAAGGGATTGTATAAGTCATAAAAAACTTTGTTACGAATGTTTTACAATGATTTATCACATCAAATATTCAATTCGAAACCACTGAACTTGATCGGAGAAAGTTCAGTTCAGCTTTTATCAAGAGGAAAATTTTGTTTTTGTTATATTGGAGATCTTGTTGGAAATGTTGTTCTCTAAAATGGTATATTCACTATTCCCTCTGGGTAAAGTAAGGTGTAAACAAATTAAGTAAGATTTATGACAATGTATTGAAATTTTCTTTTTTTTCTTGTTAATTGATGGGTGAATAAGAATATGCTAATTTTTTTTTAATAATCGTAAAGAAGATTATGAATTTGTCTTGAGTAATATATTTAAACGTGTTAGAAATGATGTTCTCTAGAATTGTATATTTGAAATATACAATCCATGTAAAGTAACGTGTAAACATATTATGATTAATTCTATCATTTATGCAGGTGTAAGCGATCACGTCTCAAATTAACATTTTCAAGCTCGTTGAATATTAAGTAATTGATACTTACCGAGATAAAAAATTGCAGCGATATTTGTTGTGCACTTTATTGTAAAAACCCTTTATTAGTGTCACTTTTACTCAAAGTGTTCCATTGTTGTATTACAATATTGGACAGTGTATGGAATTTGCCAGTTTTTTCTTGTTTATTGATGGTTTAACACGAATTTTTCAATTTAGATTGAAATAATCTTAAGGAAAGTAACGAGTTTGGTCAGAATGGTATAATTGACATGTGTGGGAACAATTCACTCTACATAAAGTAACAGGTAAACAAATTATGATTAATTCTATAGTCCATGTAAGATAGACGATCGCATCTACATGCTCTCAAATTAACCATTTATAAATTCGTTTTCAGTAACTGATACTTTCTGAAGTGATACACTGGATTGATATTCGTTGTGTTTTTTAGATGTTAACACCCTTGTAACAGTGTCATTTCTGTTGCATCATAAGCATACTTGTATTAAGTAAGATTTATGACTTTGTAATGAATTTGTCTTTTATTTCTTGTTAATTGATGGGAGAATAGGAATCTTTTAATTTAGTTTGAAAGAATCTTAAAGAAGGAAATGGTTTTGTCTATAACGATATATTTGCAAGCGTTAATTTCATACACTTTATGCAAAGCAACTTGTAAATAAATTATGATTAATGTCACCGTCTACGCAATATTCTTTTAATGAGCCATGATTTAATACACACTCTATACGAAGTAACTTTTTAACCTCCCTTTAAAAAGGGAACGTATTAAAAATGATGGTTTTTTGCACGGTTTGTTCGAATTTTATTTAACTAGTTATAATTAATTCAACACTATATACAAAGTAACTTTTTAAATTTTATTTGCAATAACTAAAGCATGATTAATGATAAATGGTGATCGAATGCGTATGAAACAAATTATTTTCTTTAATTATTAATTATTAAAATTATTTTTAAATTTTGTGAAAATAAAGACGAGAAAAGTGAATCCCTGAAAAAAGTAAGTTTTCAGGGATTATTTGCTTTCAAAATTTTACAGTTTAGAAAGTATTGGTTAAATTTTTTGATCTAATTTCGCACAAGTGGGGTATGTAATTAAGTAATGCAAAATATACAAATTAGTCAATTATTTTTTCATTTTAAAACCTCGAAGGTAAATCTACAGCATACTCAATTAAAATCGTTTATATTAAACAGTATTTATAATGAAGAGCTACCATGCAATACATCTTAGTCGAGGAAATACACATTTTTAATTACGTAGAATTGCTTGAATTTTTTGTAATTGAACTGAAATTTTATTTTCTTGAAATGAGCAGTAGTAATATAATGAAAGCGACAGTGGTCAGTGCTTTTCTGAAATTGATTATAAGACATAACATCGTATTTTAACTTAACAAAGATGTTTCGAAAGATAAATGATATTTTCCTAAGTTTATTTCTTAATATTTTAACATAATTTAAGGGTAAAGGAGGAAATTTTAAAGTTTAAGTATATCGTACGAACATCTTTTCACTTATTAGGTAGACGCGTTTATTGCTGTTATATTTATTGCACGTGTTCTACATTAATGAGCGTATCAATTTCAGATTCAGAATTCAATTAGGTACATTTTTTGCATTGTAAGGAGTAACAAAAAATATGGTTAAATTATAGTACTGTATGGGAATGAAATATCTGGTAACAAAAATACAATTTTCATTAAAAAAACCATAATATATGGTGTGCAAACAATTAATTTGACATTTTTGACATTTTTTCCATTTATATGGAAACAATTTTTCGGAAATTCTCGTTTTTAAAATTATAGTTCGTATTACCAGTTATTAAAAAATACAAACCTATAACAGAAATTATCCAAATAAATAGATTTTATGGCATGCTTGAAGGTATCGTAGTAAAATTACGAAATGTTACCTCCTTTATCGCATTTTATCACATAATATAAAACCCATATTATATTGGTAATTTTAATAAAATCTTTTCTAAAGAGCTTCAGTAAAAATTACGGAGTTTTCAAATATTCTAATAGTTTCAACCATAATTTTTTTCTCGGTGTACTTGTTAGTAATTATTAAATGTTAAAGGGTAATATTAAAATTTATAAAATTAAGATTAATATTATGCAAATATTAATTTACGTATTTTTATCAACAGAAGTGTTAAAGAGTAAGCAACAATAATAATTTTTCAATATCAAAATTTTACCAAGAGATAAAGATTTAATAGAAATTTTACATAAATAAGTACTCTAGTTAATAGATATTTTTAATTTTAAGTCAGAGAGAAAAAATTTAAATTGCTACATAAACTATTGGTTACTATCTAATTAAAATAGTAATTTTAAAACTCAGTTAATAATATTTCACAAAATTAACTTTAGATAAAAAGCATATATGGGAGCGCAGAATATTTTTCAGAATGAATATTTAATGAACATTAAAAAAAATCAGATGCATTTTTTTCCTTTTGAAAAAATTTTTTCCAAGTTTCTTTGCATAAATCAAGAAACAAAGCAAGAAAATGAAAATCCTTACCTTTTAAAATAATTATTTCAAAAACAAATATTATTGAATGCAAAAAATCTATGCATAAAAAATTTTTTTTGAAAGAGCTATAACAATTTAAAAAAAATTTTTTTCTTCAAGTAGCGTTTGTTATAATTAAAAAATTTTCTTCTATAAGATTTTAATATTTTTTTAAGACTTACGTAGAATTTAATGCTTTGAAAAATTATGAAATTATCTATTAATTTAAAAATTATCTTCTGGAAGTCATGGATCCTAACACCATAGACACCAAAAAACATTTATACAACATTCACGAAAACATTTAACATAACTATTATAAAAACATAAGTAGCTAGTTTCGATTTTTATGATAAATCAATTTATTTTTAAGATCAGTTATTAGCCCTCTCTCTCTCTGAACGAAAAATCAAATGATACTATAAAAACAATGATCCCTAACTTAATCAATGTGAAACATCAATTCATATTTGCGAAAACATCAATTAATCTCACGATCTCTACAAAATATTACATCAAAGCGTAAAGAGGCGTGTCTGAATGAGAGATATTTTCTTTTTTCTTAAGTTTCTGTAAATTGAAAAAGCTAGTTTTGAAAGAGAAGGTTGTACTGCGTAGTTTATTTTAGTAAAAAGGAAATATTGATAACGTTTTACAAAATTCATAAACTTATTTTATTCAACGTAAAGCAATAAACATAATAAACATCTATAGTAACCATTTCAATAACCAGACAATAGTTACAAGAATTTCTAGACTTAGACTGCTTATTTTCATAAATTTCTTTTTAAATCGTAACTAAAAATTAAGTTATATTTATTTGCATACATATACATTCCTTTATATTACTTTCTGTCTCAATTTTCACATTATTTTTCTCAACAACTTTTGTATATAAACTTAATTTACGGATGCAACATTTCATTTCACTTTATTTCAAATTTACTAACAATTGTTTTTAATTATTAAAATATTATTCTAACTATATAAATTATTTAAAAAATATTAATTCACTTGTCGAAATCCGATGCGAATGTGAATAAAAAAAATCTGCAGCAATTAAGTGGATTAAAATTTTATTTTTCAAGAAGAGACAAATTTCAGACAGTGTATTTGAAACGAATTAGTAATATTTACGTAATTTTTTATCTCCTCCATAATATTTTAAACATTTTAGAAATAAGTAAAGATTCAAAACAGGAAAAGCAAAGAAAATTGCATGTCAAAACATAACTAAATTAACAGAATTCCGAGACAACTTACACAAAGAATTAATGTAGCAAACATATATTCTTCACGATTTCACTTATTTATTTTCTTTAGAAGTCATGCAAAAAGAAAAATCATATTACGAAGTTAAAAGTCGAAAATCACCATGGAAAACAGGTCGTAATTGCATACTGCACAAGCTGTCTTTTTTTCTATTTTTCCTGAAGTTTTTCCGCTTTTCAAATTATTTCTTTTTAGTTTGTGGTGTAATTTTCTCTTTCTTTCTATCTGATTCAGAAGAATCACGTGTCAAGGCGTAATTGGATCCGCCGAATGGCTTTGAAAAGCACAATGAACCTATTAAGACAGTAGGATTATTTGTGACGTCACTCTCGTTAAGTTACGCACCTAAGGATTATAAAAGGTAACTAAAAAAAGAAATTTTTTTCCCTGCAAAGTTACTTGATGGATTAGGGTTACTTTGAATAGTTCAAAAAATGACTTTTTTAAGGATTTAAACTATGAACTTATTTACTTAAAATACTTAGTCACTAACATAGAAATTATTCTATTAATCCATTTTTATTATAAAATATTATACCATAATTTTTACAGTAATATATATTTAATTCGAGTGATTCAGTGATTTTACGGTGATCATTACTGCACAAATTACGGTATATCAGATTTTTTCAACCGTAACATGTTTTTCGGTGGAAATAGATTTTTCGCTAAAAAGTTCCGGTATTCTGAGTACCGGAACTTTATAGCGTAATTTGATCCTGCATTTGTTTATTGTGTAATCAATACAATCGCATAAAATATTTGCTCACACAAAAAATTTATAATCATACCTATGAAACTAAAATCATCATAACAATATGATTTATAAAAATAATTTAGGAGAAAAACAATTATATTATGTATTATCTTTTGTAAATTGATTCTTAAAAGACAATATACAAAATATTAATAAGCTTTTAATTTTACTGAATTTCAAGAAACTGCCAAGTCGTAAACAATCATTTACTTAAATCCCGGGATAAAATACAACTTCTCTTAACCAATAACCAATACAGCATTTAAAAGAACAATTGTTTTCTCTTTCTATTGGCTGTTTTATTACAGAGGGCGAATTTTATTAAATTTTATTTGCTTTACTAAATTTTACGCTTTATTAAATTCAGTTTAACATCGATATTTAATATCAGTACAATCACCAATGTTATAAGTAATTTTATTAAATCGTTTCTCTGTTCAAGCTGTGCAGAATTGTGCATTCCTGTATAAAAAATAAATTGCAAGATAATATGATGCAATTTGGCAATGTAGTACGGTTGCAGCAAATTTGAGCGATATTACGATTTACCATTGGATTTAACGATACTATAGAAATTTTACGATTCGAAAGTTTCAAATAATGCTGCTAAATATTGCTAAATCATATTTCTATAAATTATATAGTAATACAATAATTTAAAAATGAAATTTTTATTTTTATCTTGATATAAGAAAATTTTCAATACAACGTTATAGTCATTGTTAAAATTGTATAATTATTATTAATATTTTACATTAAGCACTAATATCTTTGTCGACAGTACAGTATTTTTATCATAATTGCTGAAGTATAATTAACGTTGATATTAGAATAGCATTCACTGCAAAAATGATTTCCCGAAGTTAAGCAAAATTGTATCAAAATTGCTTCAAAACATGTTTTCTCGGAACGATTTAAAAACTCCATGTACTCATTATTGAGCAATAGAGACATGTTTAAAACAGAAATAACATACACATTGAAACAGCACATTTAAAAATTTTTCTTGACTCGATAATGAGTATATGGGTCTTTAAAACTCAACAATACCTGTTTTTGGAGCTCTTTTGACACAATTTAACTCATATTTTGATAAAACTCCTTTTAACAGTGTCTTAACAATATCTTAACAATAATGCAAAACAATATTGTTATAATACCAAACAAATATGGCACAATTCCTTCTGAGAATACATAGTACAGTTTATGAAAATGAAGCTTTACATAAATGTAAAATCGAAAGGTATTATTTCTTCAAAAGTAGTCATTGAAAACAAATTTCCCAAAATTTTTTTAAATTAGGTTTACTAAAATTTTTACAATTTAGTTAAATTGTTGCTGAGTGAAAATTGTGTTTGAAAAGTTATAGTTAAGGTAAGTATTTTATGATATTTACCAAGTAAAATTTTTTATTCAGTTGAAAAAAATGTGACTCACTTTACTATAGCATTGCATTGAAACTATTGTTCATTGATATCTACTCTTGAATTATATTGATTAGTTAAACAAAATTGAAAAAAGTAGGAATTAAATGCCAAATTATTCTGGAATTACTTTAACAAATTTTTAACCTGAAAAACTACATATCAACATAATTTTTTGAGCACATTAATGTTGTATCATACGATCCTAACTACATGCATTTAAAAAAAAATAGTATTTTTATTAAAGTTTAAATTTACATTTAAAAAAAATAAATGTTTTTATGTAATAAGTAAAAAGTACAATCAGTTACTAATAACCAGAAAATATACTTAATCCAATCACACACAAATTAAATATCTTTTCATTCAAAGATTGGAGATATGAAAATTATACAGTAGAAGCAGTTACATTTCGGTTGAAACAATAGTTAATAAAATTAATTTCATTGTTTACAAACTATAATGATGGCAAAAAATTTCAATGAATTCAGTTGTCGAAAGATAAAAAAAAATTATAAAACCGGTTTCAAAATATTTTTTTAATATACAATATATCCTATGCTTTTTAAGCATCCGGATAAATCCACCTGTGGTAACAAGGAAATTCCAACATTCCCTCGTTATTTATATGACATATTAATTGCATAATTACAGCATGTCAAAACTTTTATGACTCTTCATAGTTCATTTAATTGGTTTTCGTCAATGCAAATCATCTCTAATATGTCAAGATAACTTATCAAAGATAGATATTCACGATAGCTTTTCTACAATGTTTAAAAAAGAAACTTATTTTTCGACCTGAAGTGAAGTCAAAAGTCAAAATTATCAAGTAGATTTCATAATGCTGCTTAGGTTTTTTCTATTTTATAACAGAAGAAATTTTGATGCAAATGACTTCAAAATTGTTTAAGGTGCAAAGGTAAATGGGGTATATTTTATGACACACTAGGGAATATTTCTGTAAAATTACTGTATCGAATGGTAATGACATTTCTGGTAAAAAATGAAGCATAATCTTGCTTTTTTTTCTTGGTAAAAAAGACAAACATTATTCTAGTAATAAAAACCGTTCACATAATGACGGTTTATCAGAATTTCTGGTTTTCAAACTTATTTTTCTCTTTAGGACACAGTCATTGAAAAACGCGAAACTAAAAAGTAAATTTAAGCGAATGAATGGTTTTTATACTATACTCTTAGGTATCATGAGGAAATTAATTAATTTTTTTTACATTTGCCAAATTTTATTATATATTATAAAACTATATTTTATTGCGAATTTTACCAAATGTGATAATTTTACCAAAGCGAGTCGGTATAAATTACCGATTTTTTTAGTGTTTCCCTAAAAGCAAGAAACTCGGTAAATTATACATATTTTGTTAGTTTTAACCACATTTTTATTTCTCAGTATGCATCTGAAAAAAATTGAGCAACGCATTAGGTAGTAATGCAAAATTGTTTGCTATTTACATTGCCTTTTTATTTTTCGTTTAAGCCCCCTCCAAAATAAAAAATTAAAACTACGGCACAATAATTATCTTCTTTGTGTTATTACATTTTCAGAAATAAAACACTCATGTTATGCGATTCAACAATCCTTGAGCTGTATTTCGTTACTTTTTAGAATAATTTCATCACGAAATCACGTGAATTGTGACAAAACACGAACTCTCAAATGTATGACGAAAATGTTTCCTATATTCGGAACCTCTTTGCAGTGTATTGTGGGTAATTGTTAACTTGAATGGTGGAACTAGAATGAATACTAGACGTTCGAAAATAAGATTACAAAATAAGCCGACCGTGCTATATGGCTGTCAAGGAGTTTGCCTCGTACCATAAAGATGCTAGAGTCTAGTCCCGCTTCGGGCATAGATGCAATTTATCTGTCTGTTCTATTTGTCCCTCATCTATTGCTATAGAAACATTGATCAAGATATATGGTGCCCACAATTAAGTGATTGTTTTTAAAGTTAGATACATTAAGCACTACGATTTTTTGTGGGAAAAAATAAATGACAAAATATTTTTTTTTACTGTTGACGAATTTCGCTTCCTCAAGAAATCGACGATGGTTATTTCGCCCCTTTAACGAAATGTTCTCTCAGAGTTTATACCAGGAAACAGTTTCGTCAAAAACAAAGAAAACTTGTTTTAGTTTTATTAATGAAAATTGATTATTCAACTCTCCAGGTGTATTAGTGCTTTTTTCAATTTCTAAAGATTTATTCGTGTATTTGATGTGATGAGAGCTAAAATGCATCAGTTTCACAATGTTATAGTTTTGAAAGTTTTAATCTAGATTAAAATTATTGATGACATTAAAATTAATAATTAAAAATATAGTGCTAGGACTTATTTAATTTTAATCGACATATATTTTATACATCATTATATATATGATTAACAACTACCAATCCATAAAAAATTATTTAATTTTTGTAATTAAGTATTTCCTTCTCTTTAGTTCTGAACACTTTAATTAGCAAATGACGGACTTGATAATTATAATTTAAACTTCCATTTCTGCCAAAATATGCTACTTAGAGAATGTACAAAACAGTTTCAGTTTTAAAGGTTTTTAGAAAATACGTTTTTAAATAACAAAAAAAATTGTGGTTTTTACAAAATATTTAAATATTTAATTTTTCTAATAGAATCAACTATTCAAAATGGTATTCTAAGGGCAAGGTAATTAAAAATAAACACACCTATTATTATTATTATTAGCATAGTTTACAGGTATCATAATTAAAATACCATAAGTTATAAAGCAGAGAACACAATTTTGGCTACTAGAAATTCTTAGAATTATCAATATATAGTAATAATGTAACCGTGATAATACGATAATCAGTTGTAATAACAAAACTGTGTTATAATTTTTTATTTTATAATATTATATATTTATAGAAAATTGAATAAAAAAACAGACTAAACATTATTTTTTATATAGATAGAACACTGAAGAACACATTTTTGTTGCATTTGTACAAATGCTTAATCTTGCTTGATTCGAGTATGGGAATTTCAAATCTGAAACTAGTTTACTTCTGCAGCTACAGATTGTATTTTAAATAATAATTTTTAGTCTAATTTTTATTGTAATGAACAAGTTTAAAAACGGGTCAAAAAAGTCCAAATGTCAAGTTTAAAAACAGATATTAACAAAGGGTCACATAAATGCTGCTATAAATTTTTAGTAGAGTAATAGCACATCATCAGAATTAAAATTGTATTGAAACCCATTGTGGTAAACGTCGTACGCGGTCAGGGGTGCTTCTCAATTATGAACTGTTTAGAAGCACACAAAGAAACAGTAGGTATATAAGAGGGAAGCAAAGCTAGCGGCATATGAAGTCATTTACTCTTAGTCATGGGTTACTATGGCATTTTAATTCTGATGATGTGCCTAGCTCTTTAGAAGTTTGTTGACCCCTGTTATATATGAATTTTTTTAAAATTTTAAATTTCGACAAAAAATAGACTAAAAACGTCTTTTTTTAAAAAATACTGTAGCTTGGAAATAGAAACCGATTTGAAACTAATTTAAACCAAATTTGAAATGAGTGATACGAAAGTTTTTTTTTTATTAGTTAAAAAAATTCATGCAATAGAAAACAAAAAAAATATGTTCCTTATTGTTATTGACAAGTTTCCAAGAGATTTATTTTATCCAGGTATGCAAAGAAGCATATTCACACAATATACAACGCTGAATTTTTAATGCAAAACTGGATTAAGAAGAAATATACTTCTTAAAAAACGGTTTTGTAAGCAGGTTTATTTTTTAAATCAGGAATCTTAAATAATACTCTTTATCAAGCGATATGTATATTTAAATTTCTTACTTGGACAAAGTAAAAATATGAAAACTTAATTATAATTCCCCACAAATTTGGTATAATTCTTGTTTTTTTTTCGTATCTTAAATTTTCCTTTAATATAAAAAATTTTAATTATTTTAGAATACCGTATTTACAATATATCACGTTAAGATTGGTTTGGCACCGGATATACAGTTTATTCCATGCTTTTAAGAAAACTTGTCAAGAAAAATAATTTTTCAATTCATTTTAAAATATTATTCACACTTAGAAATATTTCTTAAACGTTGAATAATAACGTTTCTTTGAACAATAATATAGTTACAAGTTACAGAAACCCTAATAACGCATTAATTTGAACGATATTTCTTTAACGGCGTTATGGTGTTTTGAGCGGTGTTATGGTTCAGCAAATTAAAATGTATAAATAAAATTTTAAACCTTTTTCTTTGAAATCCTTACTACTTTGTGGTAAAAAAGGCAGATCATCACGATTGATTTTCTCTTGCTATAAAATTATGTTTACAACAGAGTGTAAAGTTTTAAGTTTCTGACTTCTCCGAGAAGCTTGTTCTTGAACTATAATAATTTTCAATTATTCCCCGTCCGTTTTAAGTCGTTTAAATAATAATAAAAAAAAAAAATTATTCCCCGTGAAGCATCTTAAAATTTTTTTATTTACATTTAGCTTGTTGTCATAAGTGCTTAAATTACGGTAAACAATTTAAAGAGAAATTTTATTCTGTACATTAATCCAATTAGAAATTAATCCCCTTATAAAAAGTAAGGATTTCCAAATGGATAGAAAAAGTACGTTTTAATTTTGCATGAAAATTGAAGTTCCACTAAAAGAAAAAAGAAAAAAATTGTTGCCCTGGGTGAAAATAAGTACTAAAAAACAACATTCCGCGTGGTTATAGCCCTACTATCTTTGTTTATTCAACTGCATAGAATTAATAAAAAATATTGTTGAAAGCTATTGTTTGATATCTAAAGAGAAAAAAATAGCAAATCTAATAAGATATGATCTTATCGAAAGGCGTTCCACGTGTTTTACTCCCGTGTGAATAATCCAACTTCACCAAAACAATCTTTTTTGCAAACGATTTGTTTGCTATATGCAGTCTAATAAATCACATATGTTACCAATAAACAAAACACGAAAATAATCTCACAGAGGAAAGCAAATCTGTCACAAATTATGTAACATTAGCTCACTTTAGGATGAGAATTTACAAGTAGTTGACGACGCGAAAAAATTTTTTTTGGACTGGGAAAAAAATGAATAAAACAACAGCATCACGCTAAAACGCAAGGTCAGTAGAACGACATATACAGTATTTTATTTTCACCATCAGTTTCTGTAAAAAGAACGTAACTATGATAATACAAAGAGAAAATATGAACAAAAAAGTGACCTTAACTTGAAGCTGATTACCACTAGCGGACAATCCGTCATTTGTGTCATGATGTTCACGGCCAAGCCAACTCATCTCGCCAACTAATTTAGTTTTTTTTCCGCCTCTGTTGTAGTGTCCCACCTAAACTGATACAAAGAGATGATTCGCTGTGATGAGTATAAAAATAGATCACGCTTAAGTGAATGAAAGGAAATTGAATAAACATTTTATAATCTATATAGCGACCAGGATTTAGAGTAAGTTAAGAGAAAAATTGCTTATTCAATGTCAAATAGAACTAGATTTAAATGTTAAATTATGCACAAAAAGAAGCGTTTTAATTTTTATTTAGAATTAAAATAAAATTAGGTGGCTATGCACATTTAAAAACGTGAATTTTAAAACAGGTTTTGTAGATTTCAGTTTTGATTATTCCCTTTAGTTTTTATTCATTGAGGTCAGGTATTAGAACTCAATTAAAGAATAGTTAATGTGAAATGAAATCAATTTAAGTAATAAATAATGTATTGAATAGAAGTATTGCGTTTTAACTTTACTTTCAACTAAAAGGTTGTCGTACACCCTTAAAACAGGTTTTTAAATAAAATTTCCCAGATTTTAGGTATATTCGTTCATATTCAATTTCTTAGATTTTCAAAATCAGTCAGAATTTTAATTTTATATTTTGAAATTTTTGAGGTATTACAATTTAAATGAAACTCGATTTTAGTTTGAATTATTTTCTCATCCATTTTTTACGTCTGCAAAATACGATAACTGCATTTATAGTAGTTTAAGGAAATGTTAGCATATTTGTATGTGTATGGAGAGGTGATTGTACTGCGATTATGAAAAATATCAAGATAGCTGACAAAATATTCTACACATTGTCTTAAAAACAATTATTTACTGAACATTTTCATATCTGAGGATATTCCGCACATTTGCGTTACGATTTTATCGAAATAGGTAATTAAGTGTAAGGGTTGTTAATTGCGCACTGGTCCAAACCAATTAGCCTTAGAACTTCAGAAAAGCATATTTGAGTGCATCACGCCTGTTTTAAGGAGAGTAGGCCCGCAGTGGGAGATCTTGTTTTCGAAAAGAACAGTAGCCATTATTTTACACATGAACTTTCATTGTTGTTAATTAATATTTCAATTCAGGTTAATTAAAATTCTCAATTATTTTCCAATTAATCATACTTCGTAATTATCCTCATATCTGCCTTAATTTAACTCCACTTCGGAGAAAAACTTCATCAAATAATTTTTATATTACTCGGGAAAGTGTTTCTATTCATAATATTAAAATCATCATAAAAATGATATAAATATAATTTTTAGAAAGCATTATCGAAGGAATACAATCATCTTTTAAAACAAAACTGAAAATGCAGCTTGTACTTTTATTTTTATTTTGATTTAAATAAAATTTTAATCCTTGTTACTTTTAGACCTCTGGAAAACACTGGTTTCAAACCGCTTCCCGGATTAGAGCCCTAGTTCTTCACAATGACAGCTTTGCATCTTTTACAGGGAGCCAAAGCGGTTATATGCAATCATGAACGGTTCGTGTGGTAAGGATCAATCGCACCAAACAACAAGATAACCTATGAATTAGGTAGCGGAACAATTTCACCATTTTTCATGTCTTTTAAAATGAATTCTACACTTGTGTTAGATGAAAAGAAAATCCCAGGTTAGAACCCTGGTTCTTCACAATGACAGCTCAGTACATTCTACGTTGAGACATAGTGGTTCTATGCGGTCATGAATGTTTGGTTCATTCGGAAAAGATCAACTTCACCATAAATTGTAGACAGAACCCATAAATTGTAGACAAAATCACCATTGCTCTGGTCTTTTAAAGTGAATTAATTAACACTTACGTTTAAATAGAAAACTAATGAAAACATCCAATAACTATCCCGACAACATTGGGGCTCTATGGAAAAAAAATATATGCCCAGAATGATTACCAATAAAAGCAATTTACGTTAGCACTTAGATCAATACAGTTTGCAGTTTGGGATATATATATATATATATATATATAGATGAATATGAATGAACAATCCATGACTGGAAACAAAAGCTCTGTTCCTTGGCTGCTGTCTGCTCAGCAAATCATATTTATTGACATAATCATTTGAAAATATTTCAACAGCTACTTTTTAAATTTTTGTCTCAAGAATTGAAACTAAATGCACAAATTATACATGCCATTGGAAATACTAAAATGACTATATTTTTAACTATACAGGAAATAGTTTTATAAATCAAAATTGGCAATAGATATCGACAGATTTCAAATAAACTGTTTAAGTGCAACGATAATTAAGCGAAGCATTAAATTTTAAGTGCAGCTTATGCAATTTAACCTCAAGTTAGTTGAGGCGTATGCTGAAACCTGGACAAAGACAATGATTTCGCTACCACATTAACATAAAAGCAGATCTGGAGCACTGTTGAGCTCATTTGCAAGGGTAAAGAGGGAACCTTTATCGGCGACTTTGCAAAGCTGGCAAAGGTGAGCTAGTCTATGATTACGGAAGTGGAAGTTGGCGAAAAGGTGAAAAGTTAAGACTACGCTTTAATTAATAATTCGCTTTCAAAAATTTAGCAAACGGCTCTTCAGAAAAAAATTAAGTGTTGTAAATGATTAGTTCACATTAGAGCTGAGTTTTTGAAGTGACAAGTGTTAAAAATTGGTTAAAACGATCAAAAATAAAAATGTTATTCATGACCATAGTATATGTCTCTATAGCAAAATTAAAATACTAAATTAATGTAAAAATAAATACAAATGTGTGAAAATGTACAATTGAGAATAATTTGAAGAAATGCACAAATTATAGTTCTGAGGAAAGAAATACATTGTATTTACTTCAAATATTAATGTTTCATTTTATTTTAGAGTTTTTATCTCTCATAGAATATTTTTGAATACACGATCAAGTCAAACATATCTTGTAATTTTTATTTTAGTTTTCATATGATTGATTCTGAAATGTCTTGTTTTGTTATTGTAATTTGTTTTGTTAAGTTTTTCATCATTCTAAAATTTAATCTTACATTTGCATAATACTCTAAGAATAATACTCCATTGAATAAATTTTAAACATAATAGTTTAAAGAAAAGAAAATAATTATAACAAGCATATATGTTAACATTACAGAATATGACATATTAAACTTTTAAACTTAAAAGTTCCAAAAATAAAGTTAGGGTATGGCGGAGCAAATGATTTTAATTTTTTTTCCTATTTAGATATGAGAGTGCCAGAATTGGAATGTATGAATGGATTCAATTCATGCAATAAAAAATTTTATTTTAAAGATATTCTTTTAACACTTGTTACAAAGTATAAGAAAAATATTATTCTGCTCATGTGGGTTATCGTGAAGGTGATCGTTAATAGAGGTTAATAGCCTCTTATATGTAAAAAATACCAAAGAAAACCTTTCAAATTATGGTGGTTTTAAAAATATCAGGTAGGAAATGAAGACTTTTATTGACTTATTTGTAATAATTTTATATCTCTTATCTAATAATTAAAAAAACTTTATCTTAAAAAGACAAAATAATATCTAATCGGTAAATAAGGGTTTATTTTCTACCAGTGTGAAAAAAAAAATTAAAAAACCGAAGAATCACGTTTATTTCGCAATTACGAAAATAGCAGTTCCACTTCTTTCAACAACTTTCCTAGACTTCACAAAAAAACCTTAATATCCAATGTTTCGAAATTATAACGCAGGTTATTCTTACTTATTCAGGTAATATATAAAAACTCATCAGTAAACAATCACTTGCCAACTAATGACTAAAAGGCAAATAAAATAAACATATATCTTTAAATGAGATAAGCAAAAATACTTAATTTTACTACAAAATGAACCACTATTGGAAAACTTTTATTTAATGTGTAATCTCAGTTGTAGATAAGCGCAGAAAATAACCTTATTATCGCAGGTCACTTGTTTATTCAGAAGCATATGCTTTTGCTCCCTGAAATTCTGCCATCATTTACTTTGGCTGAAATAAATTAGAGTCTGAATGAGATTTCAATGCACGATTTTTCTTTCTCATTCACGCAATATTTCCAGCAGTAAATACCGATTAACCGATTAAAAGAGAGAGAGAGAGAAAGAGTAAAATGTTGTTTCCTGGCGTTAATTAGATAAAATGCATAAGCGATGGATGTGAGGAAACACCTGCGTCAAATGTTTACTGAATATTAAGAAATGTTTGATTTTTGCGAGGAGAAACTGACGCAGATTAATTGTTGGAAAACTTAAATTGCGGAGAAGTAAATCACTTCGTTCATTAATTTGAGTTCTTTTTTTGTTGAAAGAATTAATACGCTTCCCTCATTAATTTAATTTCGTCGACCATTTGCCCAGTGCAAGTTTTAAGATTTATCGTGTTTTTAAACTCGAACGAGATCAAGACTGTTATTTAACAAATGGGTGACTATGTTTTTTCTGAAATCAAGAACAAAAAATATTTTTTTAAAATTGAACTGCAAAAAAGAGATTTGTTTTCAGCACATTTTAACAATCATTAGTGAACATGTTAATTAATACATATTTCGGAAAACGACATTTTACTGGGAATACTAATATTTTTTTCTCAATTAATAAGTAATATCCCCCTTCAGGTTTTGAACCAGTTCACGGTTTTGCCATCGATTCTATCAGATATATATTGCATTCATAAAATTTTTTATCTTTATACCATACATAAGTTAGTTAAAAAGAAGTGAGACCATTTTGTAACCTGTATGTTTTTGCTTAAATATACCCGTAGATTATCAAGAAGAATAAGATCCGGAGAGATTTTCAACTATTCTAAAACATCAGCTTTGTTTTGACAAAATATTCTTTTTTTTATTTTTATTTATTTATTTATTTTTGAACTGTAGCCAAGAGCAAAGTCATGCTGAAAAGTGTTTTCTTCGGATTGAAATATCTTGTTTAAGTCAAACCTTATTTTTTATTTTTGTATTTTCGTTTACAGATCCCTGTCATGATTCCTTTCAATAGGAATGAGCTTTCCTACATCTTTGTATGACACTCACTTTTACTAAAGTTGGAAAATCCAAAACTCTCACCATTGATACCTAATAACATTTTGCTTT